TTTTTTTAAAAGGTAATTACAATTGAGGAAAGCCCTGGCCAGTTTTGCTCAGTGGTTAGAGTGCTGGACTGTGGACTGAGAGTCCCAGTTCAATTCCAGCCAAGGGTGTGTACCTTGGTTGAAGGCTCGATCCTCAGTCCCCATCAGGGCACATAAGAGAGGCAGCCAATCAATGTATGATGTCTCTCTCTCAATCAATGTTTCTCTCTCTCTCTCTCTCTCTCTCTTTCTCCCCCCCCTCTCTGAAAAGCAATGGAAAAAATATCCTCAGTATTAAAAAATGAGGAAAGAAGTTTCCTGAGGAAGATTTGAATTAAATGACCCTGGAGAAGTGTTCTTTTTCCATTTATAGCTTTTATTTCTGTTTCTTTTTTTTAATATATCTTTATTGATTTCAGAGAGAGGAAAGGAGAGGGAGAGAGAGAGACAGAAACATCAATGATGAGAGAACCATTGATCAAGCCCACAACCCAGGCATGTGCCCTGACTGGGAATCGAACCCCGATCGCCTGGATCCTAGGTTGACGCTCAACCGCTGAGCCACAACTGGCCGGGCTTTATTTCTGTTTCTTTACTATGTAATACATGGAGACAGTATGTAAATGTTTTGAGTTAAGGTGTTCCCAGAGTTGGCTAATTCAGCAGCATAGTTATTTCAACAATGTCTTAGTGTCTATCCAAATTTCCATTTTGTCATCCTGAGTATCTAGGCTGGTCTGATGAAATATAGCACATCCAATTAAATTTGAATTTTAGTTAAACATTCTATGGCCCATGCAATATTATTCATTATCTAAATTTCAAATTTAACTAGGTACCTGCATTACAAGGTCCTAAGTCTGGGAAACTCATCAGCATCTTGGTTTTTCTTTGTAGGCTAGCTCCACTTGTGGTCAAGGGATGGCTGCCATGCCCTTTAGTGTTAGATGTAGATGCTAATACCCAGAGATATCAAAGGGATTCTGTTGGTAAGGAAGAAGGTAGAGGAGTGGTGGTTTGGTAGGTAACCTACAATGTAAGTCACCAAGGCAAATCTGAGTCTTTATTGACTAAAACATAATTTCCTCTAGTATACACACTTTAACAGCTGATAGCTCAATTTTGAAAATGAAATGTATTTTGATAAACACTGCCTTTATAATTATTTAAAGTATGTTTATACAGTTTTTTGGGATACCCTATATTCTTTCAAATCAGTGTTTCGGGTCTCTTAGGGTATATTTCAAGAAGGGGGATCACTGGTCATAAGGCAGTTCCATTTTTAATTTTTTGAGGAACCTCCATATGTTTTCCACAGTGCCTGCACCAGTCTGCATTCCCACCAACAATGCACGAGGGTTCCCTCTTCTCCACACCCTCACCAGCACTTTTTATTTGTTGATTTATTGATGGCAGCCATTATGACAGGTGTGAGGTGATATCTCATTGTGGTTTTAATTTGCATCTCTCTGATGATTAGTGATAAACATTTTTTCATTTGTCTATTGGCTATCTGTATGTCCCTTGAGGATACTTTCCCTATTGCTTTTCAGAGAGAGCGGAAGGGAGAGTGGAAGAGAGAGGCAGATTGATTGGTTGCCTCCTGCATGCTCACTGACCAGGGTCGGGGATCACGCCTGCAACCAAAGGACGTGCCCTTGGCTGGAATTGAACCAGGACCCTTCATTCAGTCCACAGTCCAATGCTCTAACCACTGAGCCAACCTGGCTAGGGCCCTTTGCCTACTTTTAAATTGGGTTATCTTCCTGGTGTTGAGTTGTATAAGTTCTTTATGTATTTTGGAAATCAATCCCTCATCAGATGTATCATTAGCAAATATGTTCTCCCATTCCATGGGATCCCTTTTTATTTTGTTGATAGTTTCTTTTGCTGTGCAGAAGCTTTTTAGTTTGATGTAGTCACATTTGTTTATTTTTTTCTTTGTTTCCCTTGCCTGAGGAGATATATCAGCAAAAATATTGCTACAAGAGATGTCTGAGATTTTACTGCCTATGTTTTCTCCTAGGATTTTTATGGTTTCATGACTCACATTTAAGTCTTTTATCCATTTTGAATTTATTCTTGTTTATGGTGTAAGTTAGCGGTCTAGATTCAACATAGTACTGAAGTCCTAGCCACAGCAATCAGATAAGAAGAAGAAATAAAAGGCATCCAAATTGGAAAGGAGGAAGTAAAACTGTCATTATTTGCAGATGACATTATATTGTACATAGAAAACCCTAAAGATTACCAAAAACTACTAGATCTAATAAATGAATTCAGCAAAGTAGTAGGATACAAAATTAATATTCAGAAATTGGTGGCATTTTTACACAACAATAACAAACTATCAGAAAGAGAAATTTTTAAAAAATTCCATTTACTACTGCAACAAAAAAAAACAAGGTACCTAGGAATAAATTTAACCAAGGAGGTAAAATACTTGTACTTGGAAAATTATAAAATACTGAAGAAAGAAACTGAGGAAGATACAAAGAAGTGGAAGCACATACCATGTTCATGGACTGGAAGAATTAACATCATTAAAATGTCCATACTATACAAAGCAATATATACATTCAATGCAATCATATTAAAATACCATTGGCATATCTATAGATCTAGAACAAATATTCCAAAAACTTATATGAAACCAAAAAAGACCTCAAATTGCCTCTTGAGTCAGAAGAATAAAGTTGGAGGTATCACAATACCTGATATCAAACTATACTCCAAGGCTATTGTAATCAAAACAGCCTGGTGGTCATATAAGAACAGGGATATAGATCAATGGAACAAAACAGAGAGCCCAGAAATAAACCCACACCTTTAAGGTCAATTAACATTTGGCAAAGGAGGCAAGAGCATATATAATGGAGTAAGACAGTCTCTTTAATAAGTGGTGTTAGGAAAATTATACAGGTACATGCAAAAAAAATATTTTTTTGTTTCTGACGCTCTTCACTTTGTTAGAACTGGCAATGTCCATATCACTGCATCTGAAATAATTAATGTAATTTTTTATTGAGTATTCTGAACTGAGGGAAGAATATGGCTCACATTCCCCCTTTTCCACATTATTCCTAGGGCATGAATTAGAGGTTCTCTGTGTTTGCCGCTGCAGGTTCTTCCTCCTCCTTCATGTTAGTTCACATTAATCACGGCCAAATTCAACCTTTATTTCCTGTGTTCCCTTCCTCCTCCCACTCCCCCACCTTTTAAAGCTTATCCATATCCTTAGGGCCCTATTTGTCCATAAATGATACTGGTTT